TGTACTTGCTGGAGAGAGACAGTGAGAGGGAGAGTGAGAAATCACCAATCGGGGGGTGGTCATACCGCAATCTTCTCTCCTCCGTTCTCCTGGGATTTGGAGCATTGGATGCACAAGTACTTGGCATGATTTTCAACCTACCAGGTCCAAGACTCAATCAGCCGTCAGCCATGTGGGAGTCCAGCGCCTTAGCGCCATGCCACCTGCTGGGCTCAATGTGTGGGTTTTTAAAACTCTTGGATTTGTGATTGTGATTTTTATGTTTCATAACAGGGAATAGTCATACTTTCTGTTAGTAAACTTATTCTTAATTAATTTGGAAAAATTAAATATTAGTGTTTTTGGTATTTTACAGAAAGCACCCAATTTCCACGTATATGAACAGGAGAATCATGGCTTCAGAATCTCTTTAAACTCATCTAACCAAAAACCTATAATAGAATGTTAAGTTAGAAATACTAAAATGTCTCTCACCTATTCCTTTTCCTCCAATGTCAACATTAGTAGATACAAATATAACTGACTGGTTCTAGTAGTAGAAATATGAATGGTTTTTATGTCTCCTTAGTGCTTCCTGACTATTAAAAAATGTCCACAACGAACACTCGTTCATTCAACAAATATCTAATGAGCATCTACTAGTAACAGGCTTTGCTCTAGGTCCCAGAGGTACAGCAGTGGGTAAGCCAGACCAAAATCTGTTCTCACGTCAGTACATTTGGGTCTTTCCTCTGGGCTGGTCAGATTCCTGAAGACACTTGAAGTTCCCTCTCTGGAGAGTAAACAACTGTTAGCCAAAGATCTAGGAACTGAATGGAGGAAGAGAATATCCAATTTCTGTACGTTCAGTCTGTCTGTTTAAACAGAGAGCTCCTATTTAATGCTCTTAGAAGAAAAATGCTTTTCCTTTTTTAGTGATAGTGAGAGAGAACAATTGAAGAGGAAGGAAGTGACCTGAGGAACAATTTTCAAACTCCTTAATTCCTGCTCAAGGTCACCACAGGACTTGTACAGGGCAAGTGCTGTTCTATACTTCCTCAGTGAGCAGTGGGGGACCTACTGCCACCAGTTCCTGAAACATGGGGGCTCCTGCATTTTATCAGATTGAGTCTCAGCTTTTCCCGCCTTGGGTTTAGGGTTCAGGGCTCTCCAGGCTGGTAATGTCCATTTGCTTGCCAGCTCCCTTTCCCCCTTTTTTGCTACTGGCTTCTTTCATTATTGTGGCTTGAGGCATTAAAAAAAATAATAATAAATCCAGGGACCTGTACATGGCTTAGTGGTTAGGGCACTGGGTTCCCACAGGGCCAACTGTGGTTCAGGTCCTGGACATGGCGGCTTGCTTTCTCACTTTCCCTTTCTCTCTTTCTGTCTCTCTCTGGTCAAATTTTAAAAATGGTAATAACGGGGACCAGCAGTTAGCGTAATGGCTGTGTCGCTGGACTCCCATGTAGTCGACCGTGGTTTGAGTCCCAGACCCGGTGGCTTAAAACTCATGCCGGGCGTGTGTGCCTGCGTGCCCAAGATCCTGAGAGGAGAATGGAGGAGAAGGGATTGCGGCGTGACCATCCCCCCTGGGGGGTGATTTCTCGCTTTCTATCTCTCTGTCTCTCTCTGTCTGTCTGGCGAGTGTAAGCACCCTATAGCAAAAACCTCTAAAAAATGGTAATAATGAATAAAATTAAAAAGTAATTCTTTAAAAAAAAATCTATATACTGTCATGTAAATGGTATTTCTAGGGAGGACAAAAGTAGATCTGTGTTCATCTTCAATAATTGTTTAGCACTCATCCCTTTCTGGAAATATTTTCCCTTTACTAACTTAAAACAGCTCATATATATATTCAGCTTGTTTATTTATTTTAATTTAACCAGAGAGGGACAGAGTAAGAGAGAAAGCGAGAAAGCGAGCCACCAGGTCCTGGACTCTGACCGCCATTGGCCATGTGGGAATCCAGCATTCTTAACCACCACGCCACCTGCTGGCCCCACTTAAATCATCTCTTCTGACCAGTCAAACTCTTATTTCCCCCATTTGTCTTTTGAATTAGATATTTGAAAAACAAAAAGTATATTTTTACAGGTGGGTTGTTGTGATTTAAGAAGGATTCATGTGCTGGCTCTGCAGCTTGGTGGTTGGGCAGCTGGATCCCATAAGGCTGACTGGGCAGCTCAAACTGTGTGTGCATTTGCCCAAAATGCTGAGAGGTGAATGGAGGAGAAGGGATTGTGGTGTGACCACACCCCACTGACTCCTTTCCCTCTCTCTGTCTCTCTCTGTTGATTGCATGCATCCTGTGACAAGGAAAAAGAAAAGGATTCACTGTCACTCACATCCTTTAAGATTTTTGATAGCAAAAAATGAGTACTTTTCTCAGCAGATTAAAAGTAAGGGTGACAGAGACCAGCAGTTAGTGTAATGGCTATGTTGCTGGACTCCCCTGTAGTCAGCCGCGGTTTGAGTCCCGGACCCGGTGGCTTAAACTCACGCCAGGCGCGTGTGCGTGTATGCCCAAGATCCTGAGAGGAAATGGAGAAGAAGAGGTTGCAGCGTGACCATCCCCCTGGGGGGTGATTTCTCGCTTTCTATCTATCTGTCTCTCTCTGTCTGTCTGGCTAGCGCACGTGCCTTATAGCAAAAACGTCTCAAAAAAAAAAAAAAGTAAGGGTGACATATACATATTCAAAGTGATGTATATAGAAAGTTACTGCAACATCATTTGTAATTCTGAAAGACTGCAAAAATAACCCCGACAGGTCTATCATGGAGGACTTGTTAAATACAACATGCCAGTCCATATGGCAGTATATTATATGGTTAAAAAGAATGAGGCAGATCTTTACATTCTGCGGCGGAAGTCTTCAAGAGCATAACAAAGCATGTACAGTATGCTATGATTTCTGTTTAGAATACATTATCTATTTGTCCTAGTCCCAGGGACTAGGAGACAGTGATTGGAAAACCAGCAAGACTAAGAAACAAATAATAGAGGGGCCAGCAGGTGGCATGGTGGTTAAGGTGCTGGACACTCCCACATGGCCAACCACGGTTTGAGTCCCAGACCTGGTGGCTCACTTTCTTTCTCATTCTCTCTGTGTCTCTGGTCAAATTAAAATAAATGAATGAATAAATAAAGTTAGATAATTATTTTAAAGAAAAGATATAGAAATAATAGAAAGACCAAGCGTACTATAGGCCCTATACAGAATTTGAATTAAAACAAATTTTAATGATATATTGTCTTTATTTACTATGTATTATTTTATTTATTGTTATTATTTTTAAATTTGATCAGAGAGTGATAGCAAGAGAGAGAAAGTGAGAAAGCAAGCCACCAAGTCCAAGATTCAAACTACAGTCGGCCATGTTGGAGTCCAGCGCCTTAACCACCAAACCATTGTGGGGTTGCCCACACAATTTGAATTTTATACCACATTTTTGTATTACTTATTTTTAAAATGAATATATTTTAAACTACTAACAAATAGTTTTAAAAGAGTGGGCTCCACCCTTTTACCTGAAATAAGGCCCTCTTTGATTACGCCAACCTATTCATATTTTGCACCTTCCTCAAGATAGATTTCTTTTCTGGGACCCCCAGGTGGCAGGGAAGTTAAAGCACTAGATCCCACATAGCTGATTCCATGGTTTGAGTCTTAGACCCTGTGGCTTGAAAAATACATCAGACACGTCTGCACGTGTATGCCCAAAATCCCAAAAGGAGAATGGATGAAAAGGGATTGCAGTGTGCCCCCCGCATGGGTAATTTCCCACTTTCCCTCTCTCTCTCTCTCTCTCTCTCAATCTTGGACCAGGTCCTGGACTGGAACCACGAAGTCGGCCATACAGGATCCAGCACTTTAACCTTCCTGCCACCTGCTGGCTCCCAAACCTCCTTTTACATTAATTGAAGAACTGTACTATCCAAGCTCTCAAAGAAGTCTGGCCTGGGTAAAAGATGGGATTTTACCACATGAAGAAAGACACAGGTGGGCTCCGTGCTTGGCCAAAAGAGGAGAGGAATAAAAAAGAGGTGTGGTCGCTTTGTCCCCGTGTAAGTTTGTCCAGCAGTCGCGACAGTCTGTGTCAATGGAAGTCTTGCCTATTAGCAGAATTGAGTTAAGATAATCAGAAATGGTATGGAAGGCTACAAACCTCAACTTCCCCTTACCCAGCCCAAGCTCCCTACCTCAAGAAACCAACTGAACTTTAGTTTAAAGCTCTTACTGATCCTTTCAAAACTGTCCTTTCCACACCTGGAGAAAGAAGGTAGGAGGAGGAGCGATACAAACACGAGAGATTCCCCTATTTCCAGGGTATTTCCGATTTCCTAGTAAGTATTGTATCCGGAAAGTACGCGAGCAATTTGGGGTGACCATGGAGATACTACTGGCCTCGGTCATGTTTCCTTCCTTTTCTTGGCTGTTATCTCTTGCTTTGATTTCTGTTAGGCACCCCCTTCTGCGGGCGTCCGGATTCTGCAGTCCCTCCCTCTCCCAGGGACACTCCTGTAGGGCGCAGGAACACATCTTTAACCGAGGAGAGCGTGGAGGCACACGAAAGAGGTTTTAAAGCGCGGCTCGTGCCGTCCACACCCTCCGCTTTTTTATCTACCCTCATGGATTTGGCGCTCGGCCCCAGGTCGGACTACAAATCCCAGAAGACCCCGCAGTGGTGGCGCCCGCCCTGATCCTTCCCTCATGCCTCTGGGCTTGGAGAGAAAGGTTCCGTTGGCGGCGCAGTGCGGGTCGGTTTGTTTGCAGCGGCAGTGATCGAGAGCTGGGAGCCAGGCCTGCTGCAGGCGGGGGCGTCTGGAGGCGGATTCCTCCTCCTTGAAGCTCTGGGGGGCGGGGAGGAGGAGGGAGGCCGGGCCAGCGGCCGCGGACCGAGCCGCCAAGACCGAACGGGCTGAGGAGATGGAGGGCGACGGGCTGGCGTGGGG